ATTTGTTTGTTCTTTAATTCTTCTAGGTCTTTTTAAAACATTTTTTGCATCTTCTTGATCTTTGCCTCCATTCTTTTTCCAAGGTCCTGGACCATCTTCACTATCATTATTCTGAATTCTTTTTCTGGAAAGTTGCCTATCTCCACTTCATTTAGTTGTTTTTCTGGGGTTTTGTCTTGTTCCTTCATCTGGTATATAGTCCTCTGCCTTTTCATTTTGTCTATCTTTCTGTGAATGTGGTTTTCCTTCCACAGGCTGCAGAATGGTAGCTCTTGCTTCTGCTGTCTGCCCTCAGGTGGATGAGGCTATCTGAGAGGCTTGTGCAAGCTTCCTGGTGGGAGGGACTGGTGGTGGGTAGAGCTGGCTGTTGCTCTGGTGGGCAGAGCTCCGTAAAACTTTAATCCACTTGTCTGCTAATGGGTGGGGCTGGGGTCCCTCCCTGTTGGTTGTTTGGCCTCCACCCAGTACTGGAGCCTACCCAGCTCTTTGTGAGGCTAATGGCTCCTTGTCCCCATGGTGAGCCACAGCCACCCCCTGCCTCTCCATAAGACCCTCCAACACTAGCAAGTAAGTCTGGTTCTGTCTCCTATGGGGGTCACTGCTCCTTCCCCTGGGTCCTGAAGCACATACTACTTTGTGTGTGCCCTCCAAGAGTGGAGTTTCTGTTTGCCCCAGTCCTGTTGAAGTTCTGCAATCAAATCCCACTAGCCTTCAAAGTCTGATTCTCTAGGAATTCCTCCTCCCGTTGCCGGACCTCCAGGTTGGGAAGCCTGACATGGGGCTCAGAACCTTCACTCCTGTGGGTGGACTTCTGTGGTATACGTGTTCTCCAGTTTGTGAGTCACCCACCCAGCAGTTATGGGATTTGATTTTATTGTGATTGCGCCTCTCCTACCACCTAATTGGGGCTTCTCCTGGGTATCTTTTTTGGTGAGTTCCAGTGTCTTCCTGTCGATGATTGTTCAGCAGTTAGTTGTCATTATGTACTCTTTTGTCTGTCTGCTTTCCTTCAACATTATGTTTATAAGATCCATCCATCTCATTGTGTGTAGCAATAATTCTATCATTCTAGTTGCTGTGTCGTATTCCATAGTATGAATAGACTACAGTTTGTTTATCTATTCTTTTGTTAATGGAAATTTGAGTTGTTTCCAGTATTGGGCTGTTGGGCTAAAGCTACTATGAACATTCACACACAGGTCTTTCTATAGACCAATTATTTTCTTCCAGGTAGTTTTTCTCTGTCCTGCTTCCCCTCATTGAAGTATCTACTCCATTATGTGCTTGGGGGTGTATTTTGATCATTCTAAAGCAGAGAAAGGGAGTTTTCTTGCCTTAATTTTAAAAGTGTGCGCCCTTACAAAGTAGCATTGTGAAACATCTGAGGTCTGGAGGAGACAGGACTTCCTCTGCACAGACCCTGGAAGATTTGCTCCGATGGGAGTGGTCAGGAGAGATGCAGGGAGAAGGAGACACATAGGGGCCAGTGGACCCCAGAGGAGGCAGACAGGATTCGATGGGGACACGGGGCCAGAAATGAGAAAAATGTGAGCAAAGGGCTATGGAACTGGTCCAGAGTCTTGGTTAAACAGAAAACTCAGTTAAATTAAGGAGTAGAGGAAGTTATTGACTGATCAAATCAAGAGGAAAGCATGGAACCATGATCAGAAAATGGGAAGAAGCTAAAGGAATTTAGGAGGCTGGACTGTTAGCCAAGGTCATGTCAAAGGAGTGGCCTGGTTGGGATGAGATATGGATCCCGAATGCATGAGCTGACACCCTAGACCTTGATTACATGAGCTGACACCCTAGACCTTGAATGCATGAGCTGACATGCTAGAGCTTGAGTGCATGAGCTGACATGCTAGACCTTGAACGCATGAGCTGACACCCTAGACCTTGAGCGCATGAGCTGACACCCTAGACCTTGAGTGCATGAGCTGACTCCACCACTGCTGCCACCTTGGAGACTGGAAGGCACGAGCTGACGCCTTTGTCATCTATGTGGCCCCTGGATGCAGGTGCTGAGGCCACGGCCATCTCCAAGCCCTGAATACTGAGGCTGGACCCCCACTTCCAGGTTGCATCTTACAGCCACCCTGAGACCTGGGTGCTGGGCCTGGGCCCCACCACTGCCACCCTGGAGGCTAGAGCTTTCTCATCTGGAATTGCCACTGGCACTGCAATAACACTGAACACCCCCACCCTGGCTGCCAGAATGGCATCTAAATAATTCCTGCCTCCTTGAGTCACTGGCTCCAGACTCAAGGACCGGTTTTTCTGAGGTCATGCCCAGACACCCGTCACTGGGGAGGGGGGGGAGTACCTGGTCTTTTATCATCTCTCTAGTGGGAGACAAGTGCTGTCACAATGGGGATTTCCAGACAGAACAAGGGGTGCAGATGCTGGTCAGAGCAAAGCACCCCAACATTCAGCACAGTCTCCCCAAGGGCCTCCTTCAAGCACCGGGAGCCACTTGTTGCGACCACACACACCCTACTCCATCCAACAGGCACTGTCTGTGACCTGCAGCAGGGCTTTTGTCAGCTGTCCTTGGACGTCCAGAGAGGACCTTTCCTCAACAGCAGCCAGCTGGTCACCAAGTCCTGGCTAATTGGGACCAATGGCTGCTTGTGCTGGAGCCTTAGCTTGGTGCCCACGCACTGAGGCCACCCCCATGGACCCCTTTCCACCTGGGAATCAAGAGAAGCCAGTGGATCCCGGAGTCCTAATGGGGCACTGGTTACGGGAGGAAGGAGCTCTATCACATGAACTGTGGAGGTTTCCCCAAACAGACTAGCTGTTTATTGTAGGAACCACAGGACATGCAATGGCCTGCAATCCATGGACAGTTCTGCACTCTGCTCCGTATACCTCAGCCATCATATTATTACTTTTCACTTCAAGATAGTGCAGTCTGTATCTGCATCATTTAAGGGCAGGCAATATACATGGGACCACTCTGACCTCCCCTGCAAAACTAGAGAGGCATGTTCCCCAAATGATCCTCGGGTGTGATCATTCACTAGAAGGACTCACAGAACTCACAGAAAGCTGTTATACTCATGGTTATGGTCTATTTCAGGCAAAGGGTTAAATTCAGCCAAGGGAAGAAGAAGGTCCAGGGTCCAGGAAAGTTCTGAACATGGAGCTGCCAGTTGCCCCCTCCCTATGGAGTCATGGACAGCCTCCCTTTCCTGGTACTGACATGCGACAACATGCACGGAGTGCATGGGAAGCTTGCCTGGGCCTTGGGGTCCAGGGTCTTTACTGGGCTCCACAGTCTGCTGCCCATGTGGCTGAGCTCAGTCTCAAGCCCTTTGCCTCAGGAGGCTGAATTGCTACCACATGACCCAAAGCCCCTCACAATCACATTATTAGACTTTCTGGTGTGGCCAGTCCCACCCTAAATGAAGACCCTCCTTTCAGGCATGACATTCCAAGTGTTGAGAGGTTACCTCCTAGAAGCAGAGGACGAAAGCCAGATCTCTCTTTGGGCAGGGTTAAATTCTTTACTACACAGTATCTCTAAATAAACGCAACTTAAAAAAAATAACCACTATACAATTATCACACCTCAAAAATGTGCAATAATTCCTTAATGTCATCACATAGCTAGTCATTGATCAAATTTCCACTTATTGTACATATCATAATTTTTTAACAGTTTTTCGTTTGTTTGTTTGAATTAGGATCCAAGTAAGGGCTACATGCTGGTTGACAACTATTTAAATTCTCTGTTTTGTAGGTACCCCCTCCATACTTTTTCCTTGCAATTTATTTGTTGAAGAAATTGATCTTTTATTCTGTAGAACCGACCACAGTCTGGATTTCACTAACTGTCTCCCCGTGGTGTGTGTTAACATGTTCCTCTGTCCCCTGTATTTCTTGTAAATTGGCTTCTGGGTCCAGAGGCTCACCAGATTCCTGTACTTCATACATGGTGGTGTGCTCTCCCTTGGGGGCCCTTGTTATCTGGCGCCTCTGTTTTTGTGATGCTGGCAGCCATCAATGGTCATTGTTTACATCCAAGCAAGCACACTCACCAAGATGGGCACTCTTTCACACCCAGAGATAACAAGATCTAGTCTCATCCAAAGAAAGGACCACCTCCCTCCTTACCAATATCCCCAGAGTCACTGGGCTAAGGCTCGTTTGGCCCCCTGGCTTACATTGTACACAAATCTGATGGACAGCCACAGTGGTCCTCTCTTATCCACGTGGGATCTGCAGTCCCAACCTCGGTGAGCTTCTTTCCACCTGGCAGAAAGAGAAGCGTTCTGCCTATAGCATCATACTGCTGCTTTACACCTGCAAAATCTAAGACCGAGAGAGGTTTAATGACATGTCCAAGGTCACACAGCTGATAAATAGCAAAGCCAGAATTTAAACTCAGGTCTGTGTCTTCCCAAAGTCCACACTCTTCCCCCTGTCCCCTTGCATCTTAGGTAATAAGCTATGGGCACCTGTAATTAAGAAGGAAAAAGGGATGCAAGTCCAGTCTTTGACTTAGTTTTTTCAAAAATTATAATTAAAATAAAAGGTAGGCCCAGGGCACAAGTGGCCTTTGTGAAATAAAATACAAACGAATGAACCTGGAGCTGCAGGGGGATGCTTCTCAAGATGAATGAGCAACGTGAGGGCACCCATGCAGAGCAGTGACTCATGAGTGCCTGCAGGCACAGGAAGTGATTAGGAGAAAAAGGCAGGGAGATTATTCAGCTCTACTCTTGTGAAAAATATCTTGCTAAAATGTGTAGCCTGGGAAAATGGAACATGGATCAAACAGAGAAAGCTGGAAGTTCAGAATCACTGCGGGGTGGCAATCCTTTTCTGTGCCACCAAGTACAAAACAGAACAAAGCAAAAATGTGCAGGTGATCATCCGACTGATTTAATTGCATTCACAGAATGCTAATTTTTCAAAACTTTGGAAGCTCTGGGCTTTAGAAACACCTGGAAATTGTACTTAAACTTTGAAATATACTTTTCTGCAGGCTCTTGGTTACTGGTCCCCCAACGTGGGGATTAGCCATCATGCTGGGAACACTGACTCCCTGCGTACCACCAGGCTGTGTGCCAATGTTCTGAGGGTGGGCAAAGCAGGAGGTCCCTGAGGAGGTGTGAGCAGATGAAGACAGTCCAGCAGGGGGATGGCAGACCACCTGGACCAGCTGCACACTCAGAGCTCCCTGCACGGGTGAGGGGTCACTGAATATGTTGGAGGTAAGTGTGAGTTTGTGGGGCATGCTAAGAAATGTTATATTTATCAGAACAGAAACATTGAGGGAAATAAATCATTCTTTCCTTAGTAAAATAATCAGGATCTTTGGTTCAAGCTTCAGTGTCATTGATATGCTTGTGGGAGAGTAATGTTTTGAAAGTAAGAAAAACCAGTAAGATTTTTATTTCTATTCCCTGTATATTACACAGCAACAATTTTGCAAAAATAGCCAAGTGAGGGGGAGGTGGAGACCCCCCTTGGGAAGGAGGCTTTGACATCCCGGCTGATGGGAAGTAGAAATGAGAGCCCCCAGGGAACTGTGGGAAGGAGAAGGGGTGGTGATGGGGAAGATGGTGAGATGCACGTCCTGACTCCTCCGCCTTAGACTGGGGGAGACTTAGAAGCAGAGAACATTGGCCATGTTTCCCACATGGAGTGAGAGCTCCTCTGATCAGGCCAAGAGGGAGAAGAGAATTCGAGTTAGCACTTCCCTGAGCCCTTGATACCCAGGCGCCACATAAGGATCTAGGCAGACCCCTGGGCTCCGAGGGTGGGGAATAGTGGTAAAGCCTTGGGAAACTGACAGAGGGGTTGCTGTGTTGGGGCAAAGTGACTCGTAGCCAAGAGCTGCAGGGAAAGTCACCCAGGCTGGGGACTGAATGTGAGTCCCAAACAGATTTTAGCAACAGAGAGGGCTGGGTTGGGAGGCTAAGTCAAGAGAGGAGATCCCAGGCTCTGACGGGGCCCAGAGCTGGACCACACACTCACCAGACACAATTCCGGCCTCCACTGCAAACAGTGAACTAGGGGCCTCTCCAAGGAGGCAGAGGAGCCACAGCTGGACCTGGACCTGTGCGCATGGACCTGAGCTCCCTCCCTCCATCAGCAAGAAGCCCCCTCCTCAAACACCACATAACACCTGAGAAGGAACAGAGATTTAGAAGGCTAGCCATTAATTCAAAACATGCCGAGTTAAGGGGATTCTTCAGTATTTTGGTTCAAGGTAGAAATGACCAGCTTAGACCTGGTAGGATGAGTGTTGGGATCCTGTGGACGAGCTGCTTTCTTTGAATGTGAATTTGTAGACTTGTTACATGGGAAAGCAGGGGTGAGATACAAGTGTCCTGACCTCGGCTCTCTAGGTTGAATTCTTGGATAGGTTGAGGGCAAAACTGAAAGCTGAGGTCATTTGACTCGTCCCTTTAGAAACGTGGAAGGAGCTGCTTCACAGGGCCCTCTGGACCCACACAGAGAAAATTCAGAGGCTTTGATTAGACAGCGAGCTTGAGTTTAGCTTCCAGGCTCTCCTTGTCTTCCCTGCAGCAAGGAAGTGATGCGTTAAGTTCTACACTGCATGGAGGGATGTGGAAAGGATTCGATGGTGCTGCAGCCAGCTTACCATGGGGGACATGGTGACTGGAGTAAAATAACTGATTGGTCTCCTTAGCTGAGGACCAGTCTCACGAGGGGCATCTGTCACTCCGTCCACATCCCATTGGCCAGAACTAGTCATATGACCAGACCCAGATGCAAGGGAGGCTGGGACATGCAGTCTTCTGTGTGCCCTGGAGGTAAAGGAAATGTTTAGTGAACACAGCACTGTTTTGACTGCAGGACAGACCACAGGTGCACACGCCGTGCCAGCAAGAGCTGAGACGGCCAAGGTTAAGTATGGAAGCTTGCTGAACCCTGAGATTCACAACTGGAGACGTCAGAAGGGATACTACCAGGGACACTGTCCCCTCCCCACCCCCGGCCAGCGTGGGGACTCCATGAACAACTGCACAGGGACTCCCCCCACCGCAGTGTTCCCAAGAGAAGATACGTACTTCCTCATTCCCAGGTGCCATCTCAGGGAATAGAAGGAGGAGAGGCAGAATTTGAAAGACCCGAGCATTTACCTGAAGGAGACTATTATGAACTGAAGGAGACGGCTAAAGCCCAAAGACAGAATTATTGTTCATTGTCAAGGTTGGTTCCCGGTTACCCTGAGGGGTGCGGGCAGGGAGGCTCCCTAGGGAGATTCATTCTCTTATTGTTAATAAGGAAGCCACACTTTCTTTCCCCACCTGAGTATGGAGCGTGTTCATGTGTGGCCTTGCACAGTGTTTTATTTAGCTGAGCTCAAAATCCACACCAAGAAATGAGTTTTGCGTGTTCTCTTTTTTGTTTTTTAAAGATTTTTTTGATGTGGACCATTTTTAAAGTCTTTGTTGAATTTGTTACAATATTGCTTCTGTTTTATGTTTTGGCTCTTTGGCAGCGAGGCATGGGGAATCTTAGCTCTGCGACCAGGGATCGAACCTGCACCACCCTCACTGAAAGGCGAAGTCCCAACCACTGGACCACCAGGGAAGTCCCCTTGTCTGTCTTCTTGACTGGCCTAAGGTATGTGCCCACTGGGTTGCTCTCCTTTAAGACTCTTCCTGGAACTCTGATGTGGGACTTCTGGGGACAGGACCCCCCTTGACCTGAGCTTTACAAGAATCATAGCTTGAGGTCTGTCTGGAAGCAGGAGTGTGGGCAAGATGTCTTCTAGTTTAATCGGTCTGTGGTGGGTAACACAGGGTGCCTTTTTAAAAATGTGACCATCAATATTAGTTTAGCTACTGTAAGCTGAAAAGTCAGCTTGCCAGTAACAAAGAGGTAGTGTTTATGGCCAGAGTGAAGCATTAGGGACTTGTGGTGACTGTGGCAAAAAGACCCCACGTCCTGTCCAACAATATTCAGATTCATTAAAAAAAAAAAGCACAAACCACTAGGGGGTAACTAATGGATGTTCCCCCCGCCTTAGTCTCATCAGCTGCCAGACCTAAGGGGCCAGTTCACCTTCCCCTGATGGGGACGCCCTCTCACCCGCTCAGCACACGGGCACCAGCAACCACATGGCCCAGAGGGGGATGACATTTGTCTTCTCATCCCAGCGTAAGTCCTGTCTTCCCAGGTGATGTGCTCCGTCCAGTGTAGACCTCTTTCCAGTGGTTTAGAGTGTGAACAACCTGCAGGGAAACACTTGCAGGAGTGTGAGTTTGCTGCGTGCCTCTCATGACATCATTGTTACAGAACACGGCAGGCCAGCATCCAGACACACTGCTATCCAGGCTTTGGGATACCAGGGGATGGATGGACCCCCCCGAAACATGTTGGGTTCTCCTAGCCCAGTTTGGTTAGTCGTCAGTGTTCATCAAGTATGAAGTAAACACTGTTTTCCTTGCTCACATTAACTCCTCCTGACCTGTTCATAGAAAACGACACCTACCTTCAGAAGCACAGCAATGATATGGGCAGTTGAGATCCATGCTGGGAACATGTTCGTTTCTCCCAATTAAGTAACAAATCCTACAGGCACAGCTCTGCTAGAACACAACTTCACATTCCCCCAAAGAATACTTAACCTCTCACTCCCAACATCAGCATTAGGTTAACAGTGAACCCCCCGAGAACACTGCATGGGCAATTGATTTATTCAAGCCCAGTTTAAAGGGCCATGGTGTTGAGTTCCCCCTGAGAGTAAAAATCACATTCTAATACTTCTAGGTCAGAGAGTGACAGAGACTTTTAAATCAGTTTTTTTTAGGATTATGGGGAGAATAAAAGTGTTTTTTTCAAGACTGGCTACAGTTTGAGCCACTTAGCTTAGGATAAAGTCAGAATTTCTTGTAAGGGAGAGCCATTCTGTAATTTAGTTAAATAATTATAATGAGTGTATATATGGGGTTAAATAAGGTCCCCCAAATTCATGTCTACCTGGAACCTCAGAATGTGACCTTAATTGGAAATAGGGTTTTGCAGGTGTAACCAGCTAAAATGAGGTCCTACTGGATTAGGGTGCATCCTAATCCAATGACTGGAGTCTTTATAAGAAAAGAAAATACAGACACACAGGGAAAATGCCATGTGACAATGGGGCAGGGATGTGTCTACAAACTAAAGAATGCCAAGAATTGCTGGTAACCCAGAAGCTGGAACGGGCAAGGAGGGGTCCTCCCCTAGAGCTGGGAGGGAGTATAGCCCTGCCCACACCTGAGTTCAGACTTCTACCCTCCAGAGCTGTGAGAGAATATATTTTTGTTGTTTTAAGCCACCCAGTTCATGATAATTATTTTCAGCAACCCTAGGAAACTAATACTGTGTATTTGATTTTGAAAGGTGATGTCCCTTTGAGAATAGTTGAAAGTTTAAAAGAAGTTTGAAAGGTATTTTTTTAAGTTTTTTTTTTAAGTTTAAAGTAAAAAAAAATTAGAGCTCTGTATAATAAAGAATAGAAATTTTGAAGCTTTCGTTGGTAGGTGCTTCGATGAGGAAGGTGGGACAGAATTCAGGCATAGAATGTGGCAGGAAAGGTGACCACAGGAAGATCAATACCAGGAGAAAATCTTAGGGTTCACTTTGTCCTGGAACACCCCATGACATTAGGACACCATTACAAGCGTTTTGAAAATTATGGTATCTTTTACCAATGATCAGAAACAAGTATATGCTATAGAAAAGTCACCAGCAAACCAGAGCTGGTAACTCTCAGTATTTGGGGAACATGCACTATAACCATGTCTGGGGGGAAGACGTCTGGCCAGACGACTTCCTGTTTGGCTGAGTATGTTCTCTGTGGGAGAGAAGCAGCCATACAGGTGCCCTGGAAATACAAGGCATGACTTTCTCATCTCTCTTTCTGTGCACTTCTAAGATGTTGCTCCAGAATCTGTGCCCCAACTCCAAACAGACCCCCTTGGACCCTGTGGTAGGCAGAGCAATGGCTCCCCAAAGACGTCCTAGTGCCTGGAAACTGTGGGTATCGCCTTCAAAGGCAGAAGGAATTTTGTAGATGTGATTAGGGTTGAGGACTTTGGCATGGGGGGGTAGTTTCCTGGATCACCCAGGTGGGTCCAATCTAGTCACATGAGCACTTCAAAGCAGGGCACCTTTCCAGCTGTGGTCAGAGAGATGTGACATTGCTGGCTTTGAGGCTGGGGGAGGAGAGCCATGAGCCAGAGAATGGAAGAGCCTCCAGAATCCAGAAAAAGAAAAAAAAAGCGTTCTCCTTATATTAGTCTGCTCAGGCTGCCCTAACAAAATAGCCTAGTGGCTTAAACAACAGAAATTTATTTCTCACAGTTGTGGAAGCTGGAAGTCAAGACCAAGTCCTCTTCCTGGCTTGTAGGGGGTGCCTTTTCTTGGTATGTGCACACAGTGTGAGAGATCTCTCTCTCTTCCTCTTCTTACAAGGCCACTAATCCTATTGGATTAGGACCCCACCCTTATGACTTTATTTAACCTTAATTACCTCCTAGAAGCTCTAGCTCCAAGTATAGTCACATCGGAGGTTAGGGCTTCAACATATAAATTTGGGGTGAACATAATTCAGCTCTCCCCTTACTCTCCCCTTAGAGTCTCCAGAGAGGAATGCAGTGCTACTGATGCCTAGATTTTAGCCCAGTGAGATCCATGTTAGGTTTCTGACCCACAGAACTGTAATATAGTAAAACTGTGTTGTTTAGCCACTAAGTTTGTGGTCATTCGTTATAGCAACAGAAAACCAGTACAGACCCCCTAACCGTCTCTTTGGCATCCTTCCATCTTTCATGGACTAGGTTTGCGATGCAGACTAAATGGCCATGTGCCCAGCAGTATGCTACACACAGCATCTCTTGTCCTTCAGCACCTACGGGGCCCTATGAGTGTACCTACAGACAAGTACTGTGGGCCCCTAGAGGGTAGGGATTGTGTTGGTCATGCCTCTGCTGGCCTAGTCCAGTGCCTAAAACATAGTAGATGTTCAATAGGGATTTGTCAAATTAAAAAAAAAAAAAAGGAAGGACATTGATGTTTAGAAAGGTTACATAACTTTCTCAGGATCATGGGATCTGATCTGTCCATCCAAATGAAAGTCATACATTTCCTATCACAAGGTGTAAACCCCCAAATTATAGTCCTTGAATACAAAAGCCAGAGAACATATATTTATTCAATTCCCCTGTCACAGGTTCTTTTGATGCATTGTTTTCATTTGGGTCTTAGGAGGCAGACATTAATTGTATTCATTGGATGGGTGAGAAAATCAAAACTCAGAGAGGTTAAGAAATGTTCTCCAAGTTTTAAGAGTCATAGTTGTGGCAGAAACGATTTCAAAACCCAAGTCTGTTAGGTTTTTGCCAAGTCAATGTTTTTCCCACTGCCTCACACTGTGCATGTAGTATTTATTTTCATTTGCACATGTTCATGAGTTGCCCTATGAAAGCAGAATCTTTGAACGTTCTCTTTGAATGTTCTAACTGTTCACTGTGACCGTGATCTTTCGAAGGCAGGAAGCATGCCTACTCCTTTCCTTTTATTCCGAGTGGCAGCTCATTTCAAGTGGCACATCACATACACACCCGGCAGCAGACTTCCTGAGTTTAACACAGATCTCAGAGGTATGCTTATACTAATTAGAGCTGCTTCAAAACTTTAGAACAGCTGGAAGTATTTTGTTCTAAAGAGCCACTCAGTCAAGACATTTTTGGGATGCTTGTCATACAAGACACACCATATGGAGGATAGAACCAAATCCACCTGGAGGCAGTATGCCCTAGTTGTTGATGCCTGGGTTCTAAAGTCGGACACGTCTGGCTTTGGATCCCTGGACCACATCACTCACTAGCTGTGGGACTTTGGCAAGTTATCCCAGCCCTCTGAACCTCGGTTCCCCATCTCTACCACTAGTTCTTTTTTTTTTTTTTTTTTAACATCTTTATTGGGGTATAATTGCTTTACAATGGTGTGTTAGTTTCTGCTTTATAACAAAGTGAATCAGTTATACATACACATATGTTCCCATATCGCTTCCCTCTTGCATCTCCCTCCCTCCCACCCTCCCTATCCCACCCCTCCAGGTGGTCACAAAGCACCGAGCTGATCTCCCTGTGCTATGTGGCTGCTTCCCACTAGCTATCTACCTTACGTTTGGTAGTGTATATATGTCCATGCCTCTCTCTCGCTTTGTCACAGCTAACACTAGTTCTTATTTCCCAGGTTTTGTTTGGTTTCACTTTATTTTGATTTGTTTTTGGTTTTTGGGGGTGAAAGGATTAAGAGAAATAAATGAGATGGTATTAGCATGGATCCTGGGACATAGAAAACACTTATTAAATGTTAGCTATTAGTAGTAGTAGTACAAAATGTAATATATGTAAAGTACTTATTAATATGATGTCTGGCATATACTGAGCACTGAAAACTATTATATGGTATTATTAATAAGGTGTGGTCACTGCCATGATGAAACATCAATCCAGATAAGATATAAGACTGACACGCAGAGATTTTAAAAGCCTCAGAGTGAGACTTCCACTTTCTGGTCTAGCACGTAAGGAGCTTGGCAGCCATCCCTCCTGTCTTCACAGCAAGGAAAA